CGTGAATCCTGACAGCACTGGGACAGCAGTGTAAGAGGTTGCAGAGAGTCTCTCAACCTAATGGAACTGACTGAAGAGCAGAAGGGAAAGTCTGGCACCAGAAAACATATCAAGCAAGGCAGGAAAAAATGACAAAGCTTCCATGTATGCAAGGGGATAAGCCACTACTCACACAAATGAGACTGTAGAGAAAAACACTGCACTTCCCAAAGCTCTCACTACCTTCACATTTCTTTTTAACCCACCTATGACAGTAAAATTCTCCCTTTATTGCTGACAAGATTATGAGGTATATCCTGCTTTCCAATGCTGTACCTGTCATACATTATAGGAGTTATTTTTTCTTCTCATAGCATGTAGAGAACTTTTCAGAGCCTTGTTAAAGAAGATCTACTGTCAGTCAAATCCCAGGTCACAGACCTGCCTGAAAGGGGAAAGATCAAATACGGTAAGAATACGTGTAGCACATTTACTCTATACTGACTTCTGACCAACCATGAATTTCAGCATTTCTTTTCAGCATTAGTTTAATTTGAAAACATTCATTTTTATATCCTTCTTATATTATAGAGCCCAAAGCTGCACATAGTACTTGAAGTGAGACTGTATCTATGCTGGGTATAGTGGGCCAACCACTTCCTTTAACAGCTTAGTTACACTGTGCTTAATACATCCAATGAGACAATTGTCCATTTTGGACACCATGGCAAATTGTTGGTTCATACAGAGCTTACCATTACCCAAAACTCCCAAGATCCCTTTCTGCAGGGCTGCACTCAAGCCTCTTGTACTGCAGTCTACAAGTAATCCAGGATTACACCATCCCAGGTGCAGGATCTGGAATTTGTTCTTCTTAAATTACCTATGGTTGGTGATTGCCCAGTGCACTAATCTGTCAAGATATCTCTGTAAATCCTCTCTACCCTCAAGGGAATCAATGCTTCCTCCTAATTTAGTATCATCAGCTACCTCATTTAGTACCACTGGCAAATGACTTGGTAACATCCATGAGAGGGAAGACACTTTTACCTTCAGTAAGAACGTGGTTGAGATTGCTTTTCAAAAACATGACAAGAATGTGAATTTTGAAATCACTGTAGATTGTTAATGAGGAAAATTAAAACTGAAATTGAATAGAGGAATTTTATGCAAATGCACATACACACAGGAAAACAGCATCAGCAAACATTAAGGAAATTGAAACTGCTCCCTGTCTGCCTTAATGATATGCTGTCTGGAAGAGAGTCATTATAAGACACTCTGTATTCACAGTCCCTTCCATCCGAAGGGACATAATATACAAATGTTATCAAACTCAGCTGTCTGCATGGTAAATTAGGAAAGGGAAGAAATAGTTGAAAAATCTTGTTCTTCGCGTGGTATAACAAGGGGAAAAAAAGGCAATTGAAGTCAGCTCTCTGTTTCTCAAACTCCAGAAATGAAAAGTGGGAAGAAATCCCACCACTGAAGAACCTTCCACATTTGAGGTAGGCAGACAACAAACCCTCAGATGTAAACCTCTACGTTTTTAAAACATCATGAGGAGGCAACATCTACTTGTCCAAGCCTCCAAAGGTCAGAGGGGTCTCAATAAATGTTAGGTCCATCCTGAGGGCTAGATCTGCCCTAGTTGTTTGCTTTTGGTTTGGTTTTTTTTCCCCTTAGACTTTTATCACGCCTATTTCAAGTCCAAAGTCAGTTTAGTATTAGGATGCTTTATTGTGAACTATTTGCCTCTAGGGAAGAATGCCCTTGAGCATTTCAGTCTTAGACATCTATACAAGACTGAGTAATATGTCTTACCTTTAAGACTAAATATCCACTGCTGTATTGCACAATGATTTGAGGATAGTCAAGGTCTTCTGTGGAACCCGTCTTTCTGGACTGAGACACAGATTCCCTGGCCCTCTTAAATTAAATAAGCTTCTTTCCACAAAGCACAAAGCATGCCAGCTGATCCACTTAATCTTATTGCTTGTGAAAAACACACTGGTTACAAAATGTGTTAGATGAGTTATATGGCTTTGATGTGTTTTTCTATCAGATATTTTTCTTCCATCATCAAGTATAAGTCTAAAGAAGCCGTGTGAATTAAAGCTTGTATTGTCAGTTTTTCAGTCAGTTAAGATGCTGGTACTTCAGAAGCACTCAAAAGCTTGTAACAAAGAAAACAGGAATCAGCACAGAAGAGCATCAAGGACCTGAACTCAGTGCGATGCACCAGAGTTCATAAACCAAAGCAGAGTCTTACCTGGGACTTGTTCAAAAGCAGCTCTACTCTACTGATCTGGCTTTTGATGCGGGAAGGTTTTGCAAAAATGAAACAGAAGGTAGCAAGGGATAGAGCTTAATAAAAAGAACATCTCTATTGATCAGGCATGCATCTTGGCCAGAGAGGTGTCGAGCAGCAGCTTGCAAAACATGATCAATACATTTTATCTCACCTTTTTTCTATTTCACTGGGATGGTTCTTCCCCTACCTTGATTCTTCAATTTTCCTGCCTTTGGCCTTTTCTCTAAGTATTCCAAGTTTACCACAAGCCCCACAGTAATTCCCACAACCCCACTTTAACTTCACTTCACATGTTTTCTCTCTCTCTTAAGCCCTTTAATAATTTCATTTCTGCCCTTCTTCTCAGTTAAAAATGTCTGGCTAAACCTCTTCAGGGCTTTTTGGGCTTCCTCCAGTGGTCCTCTACAGAGGGGTCAGGGAGTTCTGATATTTGGCACTGTGCTTCTCAGTGCCTGTTTGCTAGCTTTTGTACATAGGTGTGGTTTCTTACTGCTCCTGTTTCTTAACTTTGTTAGGCTGATTACCTTAACCATTTGTCTTAAAAAAGATGTCCCTACATTATGGACATCTACATATCCTTAACATTCAAAATGTTCTACTATATACAACTCAGAAACAGTACCTCTTTTCTGATTTCTAATATCACAGGGTCTCCCGTGTTACCAGAATACTAGGTCTGAATATGCAAAAGTTAGAGTAAACGTCAAATTGTACAACAGTGGGTGACTCCTCAACCTGGACAACATAACCCAGAATCCATTCAGCTTGCATTTTACAATACACCATTACTCTGAAGGAAAGGCCTGGACAACAAGTTTCAAGAACACAGCTACATTCATAAGGGACGTCTTCCCCTACTATCCCTGCCTCAAGGATAGTGCACAATCTCAGTTTCTCTGTAGTGTCTTCCATCTGCATGTGCACTAAACGAAAGCTTGAAAACTTCATTCACTTGCCCAAATTTAGACCACCATTTAGTGAACAAACTACAGCTTTTTCAGTTCCTCAGATCCATTCTAAAGACAGTTCTATGGAAAAGAAATCTCAAAACATTTTCACTTTGACTTTTACCAAATAAAGTAGGAAACATGGACATCACTAGCACTTTCTTTTACCATACAATTCCTGGGACTTCTAGCCTTTATGTGACAATGGTGATTCACAAAACTGCAGGGAGGAGTTGGTCTGAGGATGAAATATCCTTGATTAGGCACTTGCCTGGCAAGTAGAGATTGCTGGCAAGGGTAACTGTGGTGCTACTACACCATTATCTGTCCACATTGTCCTACAAACAGCCTAGTTCCAAGGACAGCACTGAGCATCCTATCCAGAGTAGGTTGAGTTCACTTTGCAGCTGCCACAGGACATATGTCATTAGCTTAGCTAAAGATAAAAATAGAGTTCCAGGCAGGCAGACTTAGTCCTGAAAAGTTTTAACCTACAGCTATGGCAAGGCATTTGCTTGAGCTAATCTACAAATTCATTGTGAGGCAGCAAGAGATGTATAGAGAGGATAAGGCATGTGAGGGGATACCAGGTCAAACGGATTTCCTTTGCTGTGATTAAAGATAGAATGTTGCATGCAACTTCAAATTAGCCTCAAGAACACAGTACCATATAAAGTATAAAAATATAGAGGCACATTTCCTTTTAACGATAATCAAAAATACTCACACATGTACAAATACAAGGACCAGTGGTTTCCATTCTGCACACCCAGTTCTGAACAAATGCAAGCACTGAATAGTTTGGGTTCATCACTGTTTTACATTCTCCTTAGAGGCATCTCTGCAATGGGATCACACACGGACAGCTGAACTAGGCTGTTAGACAAGTCTACATGTATCCAAATTCAGCCTTACATTGTTTCTATCCACCTGTTGAAGTTATCTGAAGTGGATCATGTCTGATTTCAATTTGTACTCCTGGGCCCTCTGGTATTCTGGGCCCTCTGGTACTATTTACTTTGCTTGCATGCAGCAAAGCACTTGTTTCAGGTCCTTCTCACAGTGTTTGTTATTTAGAAGGAAAAGAACCCAAAAAACCAACATTCCAATCATGCATGCTGTCCCACCGTGTCTCTGTAATTGTGATAAGATTGAAACCTTATTTCTGCATATGTATGTGTATTGAGGCTACTTTCTCCCAGTGCTCTACCTACAATGATAGTAGTGGGAGGCTCCTTTAGATGCCTACTGAGAAAACTGTCTCAAGCTTCTCTACTATCCAGCTTAATGGGCAAACACAATCAGTGCTCAAGAAGCAACTGCAGAGAATGACTTTCTGTTGCCTTCTCTAAATGTTTCTCACTTTGGTAATCTCTTATTCTGCTTCCAAGAACTGCAGGGATAATGGTGGTCTGTGCTTGATCAAATGATTTAAAGGAATAGCAGGAGGCATGCAGTAAGGACTTCCCAAGTGCATAACAGAGTGACTTTGTTGCACCATCCTCCGGGCAACCCTGTAAAGAGAATCCCAGGGGTTCAAACAACCACTAAGGTACAAAATTGTTTTTCATAAATGAAATCAAAATCTAGAGGAAATTGAAAATTAATATCATTATTTCATGCCAAACTCCTCAACACTTAGACAGGATTTCTCATAGGACTCTGAAAAGACTAACCACAAGAAGACATAAATTTGGTTTGGTTTTATTATATAAATTCCTTAGGAATAAAAATTCAGGTAAGAGAGTTCTGTACAGGAATCAGTTTTATTTTGCAGGAATTCAAGTACAAGTTCAGCTCTACTTTTGTCAGATACAGTGTTAAAATCAGAGAGAATGATAAAATCTGAAGCAGACACACTGCACATTTCTTTTGTGGGTTTTCTCTTGTGGAACAGATGTTGATTTCTTTCTCTCTCTTCCAGATCCAAAGGCAAGCCTGGTCAGGCTGCCAGACTTGCAGTACGTGCACATTCAAGTTTTGTCATTAGTGATTCTTCTGTCAATATATCAGCTTACAAAAAAGTTGGCTGCCATAACTAAAAGCTGCATTGATGATTCTCCTCTAAGAGAATAGCATATTTCCCCGCTTATTCTGTCTTGTTAAGTACATAAAAGGTGTACTATTATTTCCTTCCTAGAACAGCATCATAGAGTTTTCCAGTCCTCTTGACTTGGATCACTCCAAAGCCAGCTGCCTCAAGGAGCTTGCTGTACTCTGCTGCTGTTCTCTCTTTTCCTTCTGTCTGGACCAACATATTCATTGAATACAGTTGGGTTTCTAAAGGCCCACTTTTATCTTCATTCAGAAGTGATTCAACCAGCAGCACTCCACCACCTGATTGAATGAAGAGCAATGAAGAACATGCTGAGCTCTGAGAAGCTGAGCTATTTTTGAGCTGTTACTAGGACAGATCCTAACCTTTAGTTTCAGGAAGAAGCAGCCTCTACATTGAGTCATATTTCAGCATCACAGAAGACAATGAAAGAACAAAAGCATTGGACCATGTCTCTGCTTGGCTGTGTAGGTACTGACATAACAAGACTGAAGGGGATGCTATGGCTGGGACAGAAGCTTCCTCCAGCTGAAATCCACAGGAGTTTACTGATTTTGTTGAGAACTTGGCTCTGTAGGCAGTGCTTTTGAAGCTCTAAGGGTTCAGTGTAATGCTTAATGGGACTTTTACTCACTCCGCAGGAGTTAGCAGCTTCTTTTCTCTCCTTCTCAGGCTGCCCAAGGTCTTTTAGTGGATTCCTGCGTTATCTCAGAGCCTCTGGCTGAGCCACTGTTTCAGGGCCTCTAACTGGAACACCTGTTTGGTTCCCTACAATGCATACACCTATCTAAACAATACCCAAAATCCTCAATTCTTACACCTTAATGTTTTGAAAGAGGAGTCCCTGTAGAGGAGACAAAAACTGGAAGCCAGACAAAGAGGTCTTAGACCTGGCCCTATTTGGCTCAGTTTCACATGGATGGCTTAGGAAAGCAAAAGACCAAACCAAGAAGCCCCTGCACTGAAACTCTGCCACCCCAATTGAGAATTAAGACTGGTGTGCTTTCCATTACTGATAGGCGAGAGTCTCTCTGCTCTTTACAAGCTCACACCTACCAGGTTTGCAAGCTTTGTAGACTTTTGTCAGCAGTTGTTTGCATTTGTCATCATCCCAATCATGCAGTATCTTGGATAAAATATACAGTTCAGCTTCAGGAATTGAATCATTAAAGAAGTCTCCTGTAAAGTAAGAACCCATAAGTAAATATTTTCAGTTCTGTCCAGTTCTGTGCTTGCCATGTCTATCACACATATCAAACAACAATGGAATTACCAGCTGGAGTGCAATGTTGCACTGCATAGGGAATTTTACTCTTGTTCAGCCTCAAGATATGAAACATTTAAAAGCAGCAGCTCACCCTGAAAGAGCCTTTGAGGCAAAGGAAAGCATTTGAGTTTAGGTTTTCTCCAGTGATATAAATTCAGATTCATAAAGCACTAAGGAACATGTTTTCATGATTTCTGTCATGAAAAAAAGGAAAGAATATTCCCTTATCTAAGAAAATTTTCAAAGACCTTCAGTAATCAGAGAGTCATCTCATAAATACATAAGTAAGAATACACACCTCTCACCTCCTAGCACTAGCTTCATTATCATGCCTTTTATTTAGCACCTGGTGTACTGCATTCAGATTTTTCTCTCAGCATTTTACTTTACCATTTCTTCTCCCTTTTTGTTGCATCTTTGTTTTTATACACTCCTTTCTTTCCTCAAGGCTTCTTTTCTCTCTCTGAGCATCAAGCAACATTAAGCCATTCCAACACTTCGAAGGCTTTTGTAAACATTAAAAATAATATCTCCCTACACGCATTTTCATCATAGACGAGAATGAAAAATGAGACGATGAAGGACCAATGGACTGGGCAAGAGGAATATGAGCTAGCTCATTCACTTTTATGGTCTGAAATGTCTTAGGACTTGAAAGTAATTATGATGAGACAAGGAAAACCCCTTGCTCAGAGCAGGCCTGGCATCCCTCACATCTGCCAAAAGGTTTTCACAGGAGGAAAGGGAAGTGTAAGGAAAACTTATAACAAGGCATGGCAGATTTCAAAACTGCAAGATGCTTTTGTTTTTTAATGTACCCTCATACTGAAAAAAAAATCAAATAGTTATGTTCAGGAATAAAGAGCTTCTGTGTTGCTGAACAACTGAGTTGTGCCTCTGATAGCTACAGATGCTTATCTGGGACAGCTGCAGACCTGGGCTGGGGAGGTTGCAGCCTGGGACACTCAGCCCCCATAAGGGGCAGCTGGAGACATGAGCCTCCTGTGTGTTACCTCTGAGCAGGGCCTTGAGAGCAACAGCTGTGGCAACACTACGCCACTGTCCACACCCACCTTCATGGAATGCGATCTGACGCTCCTCAGGGAAAATAAATTGCTCTTTGACCACTTGCACAACTTTTGGTAGATCATAAATTGTGACTGTGGAATTGGGATACAAAGAAACGCACTCCCGGGCCAAAGCTCCTCCGCCTCCTTTGGGGAGAGCAAAAGAAAGTCAGCACTGATACAAAACCAACCTGTTCAGCAACACCCCCATGAAACCACGCAGGCAATGGTGGATTCAGCCTCGTGGAATCTGACAATGTACATTGCTCCCCACGTGTTGCTGAAAGGGAAGATGGAGGGATGGCAGAGGCCACTGGTGCCTTTTGTTCTGGGTCAGCCCCACCCCTTACAGCTCTCACACACCCTCCCAGCCAGACCCAGTTCTGGGTGCTGGAAAGTGAAAAATGATAAACAGCCACTAAACCGGGTGCTGGGGAAGTGATGGAGGTGGATCCTGACCCATCCCATGAATCCTGGCAGCACTGAGCAGTGCTTGGACAGCAGGGTGCTGCAGGATAACAGGCTGTAGGCAGTATATCAATGACAGTGACTGAAGAGGAGGAGGGAAAGAGCCTGGCACTGGAAGAATGTATCAAGCAAGGCATGAAAAATTGTCAAAGCTGCCACATACACAAGGGAATGGCTGACTGCTCACATAACTGAGACTCTGTAGAGAAAAGCATTCAGCTTCCTTGCTCTCATCACTCTCACATTTCTGTCTTTAACCCAACCAAATCAGTAAAATGTTCCTTTTATTGCTGAAATACATCCTGCTTTCCATTGTTTTGCCCATCATATAACATAGAAGCTATCTTTCTTTTCAAAGCTTGTAAAAGACAGTTTAGAGGCTAGTTAAAGAAGATCTACTGACACTAACCTCCCAGGTCATAGATCTGTGTGAAAGAAGAAAGGTCAAATGCAGCAAGAACATCTCTGCCACATATACTCCATACTGAGTTCTGGCCAGCCATGAATTTTAACATTTCTTCTTCTGATCTAGTAATAAAAAAAAACATAGCACATAGAGAAGGTTACTTACTACATTCTTGATGATTCTTATCATATAACTTATTAGCAGTTTTAACATAAATACTAATCTCTGCTTTTATTGACATGAAATACGTTCTCTTTGCACATAAACCTTCATTGAATTGTACTGTATCAGAAGTGTACAGCTATGAATTCATGCATTTAAATAGGGAATCAAGACTAGTGAAATCTACCATTTAACATGTATTTTGCTTCTAATTCTCAGGCTTCCAAGGGATTTTTTTTTCCTTCAACTACCATTGGCTCTGTCAGAGATTTGGGATATGTTTTTCAGATTAGGAAATTATATACTTCTATTCGAAATATCGGACAGTGTCTTGGTAATTGATACTGTTGAGAAAGGAAAACATTGCATGACAGTTCTGATGAGTGGGATTCTCCTGTCAATATATTTAATTATCCTGAGCCATAATTAAAAACATTATTTTTATTTACAATAAGAAAAATAAAATTTCTATAAATATACTAATAGTTACCTGTACATTGCTCCAAAAGGATCTTGAGATGAAATCCCAAAAGTTCTTTCATATTGGTTTCTTCCTTCTCTAAAATAGCAGTCAAAAATGCATATGAGCATGGATGTCTTTTCTTTTACCCCAAATACACCTCAAGGCTGTAGTTTCAGCTAGAGCATCACTGTGGAAGGTGCTCAGCTTTGTACAGAATGTATGTCAGTCTGTTTGCACTGACTCTAGAGGCACCCTCACTTACCGTGCCAAAACATGCTGATATATTTCTCAACCTTTCACAAGAATGATTGGTTCTTTTCGAGGTCACATTGGGGTGACACTTTGAACAACCTGATCTAGTGAGTGGTATCCCTGTCCATGGTAGGAAAGTTGGAAGGAGATGTTCTTTAGAGTCCTTTCCAACATAAAACATGCTAGGAATCTGTAATTTATAGGAACACAACTCAGGTAAAGGTACAAGACTGGTGCAATCATCACCATCATACACACCATTTTTGGTCATCAGTTGCATGGAGTGCAACAAGTAAAACTTCAGACACGTATTAAACCACTCCTATAAACCTTTGCAACAGAAGTATCCTTAGCCATCATTACTCATCATTTCCTTTGGTGATACATCCTCGGGTAAGAACCACTGTAATGATAAAGTGTTTTCCTGAAGGTGAAATAGACAGAAATCTGATTTCTAGATCATCTCTATAATCAGAGGGAAAAGGAAAACAAGAACACACACAGATGTGTGTGTGGGAGGAAGAACACATATCAGCCATGTTAACAGCTGAAATTACCTGCTGGTTTTAACTTCTGAGAACAGGCCAGCATCTTCATTGAGCCCTTTCCCAGAGAAACACACCACTCAGAGCAGCCAGGCAGATGCTGCAAGGCAGGCTGCAACATACAGCACACAGCACTCCTCCTTACCTCACAGCTTCAGTCAGGTGCTGCCAGCACAAGTAGACTGTATTGGAATAATACATCATCATATGATACTGAGACTTTGGGCTTGATTTTGTAAGGTAGATGTTGGAAATTTCTGTGTTTCTGTAGAGGGCTAAAGGGTGAAATGAATATATTTACTAACATGTGTGATATATCACCTTGCCAAGTCTATTGTACAGCATGGTATTTATTGCCAGAAGACACAACCACATTACTTCTACAATCAAATCCTTCAACTGCAATGAGCAGTGGGTGAGTTCTGCTGAAATTTGTGTTGCCCCATTTAGTCTGAGTAAACAGTATCTCCCTATACTCAACTGCAGAACCAAACATTTCTTTCCAGAAATGCAAAAAGAATGCCTTACAAGTGCTGTTATCTACCTACAGGTTTCTGTGCTCAGAGGAAGATTTCAGTGTGCTCTATCTAAATAAGAACTCTTTGCATAGAAGTCTTTTTCTGATCATCAAGGTCAGCAATTGGGAGACAAGTCCCCAAAACAGCATGCCAGCTACACCTACCTTCTCTCAGTTCACTAGGGCAGGACCTTCTGCAGACAGAAGAATGCTTAAAGGACTCAAAGAAATCTCCCGTTTCCTCCAATGCATCTGTGATGGCATCACTCACCCACAGGACTGGGATACCAAAGGAATATAAAAGACAGATCCTGCTCTCCCTAAACTCACTGGGCAACAGCTATAAGCCCTAACCAAGAGCATGGCAACACAAGCTAGAGCAAGGGACACAATTTTTAAGACTTTGGGTAGCCCTGACCAACAGGCTGGTGGCCAGACATCCCTTCTGTTCAAGCGGAATCAATGATTCTCATGCAAGCACAAACTTATGTTACCTCTCAGTTTTGATCAAAATAGTTCACACAATGGTAAAAACTCAAAGAAACCCAAAACCTGTTTTTAAATCATGCTGTTGCCCATCCACCCTGAGATTTTGTTTTAAAGTTTAAAATCGCACCCATACCTCAGAGATTTCTTGAGACCAGCTCTGTATAGATCCTGAATATTGCCTCCAAGGTCACATGAGGCTCTTGCACAAAGAAATTTAGGGATATAGAGCCCTTCACCTGGATTTTACCTTACACTTGTGATTATGCTGACATTTGTCACTTCTCTTCCAGCTGAAGTGTGAATCCCAAGTGATTTCCTCCTTCTTTCAGCTACATTAACTTACCTAATATTAGGTATCATCTTTGCCTACACATCTTACCTCATTTAAAAACCATCAGAGGTTTAAGTCTTTTAGTTTATTCCCCTTCCTCTGCCTTTATTACCTCCTTCTTGTGTCACCTCTACTGCCAAGAGCTTCAGTCCCACACAGGCCTCCAGCAGTCTTTCCATCCCAGTGATGCTGGTACCCAAGCATGAAGCAATGGAATCTGAAGACAGAGGTTCTCCTGACTCCAGCAGAAGATCAAACACCCCCAACTCACAGGCAGTGAACATAACCTGGGGGTAAGGAAAGGTGGGACTGAGGGATCAGGTGAAATCAGTAAAGCCTACTGAATTTCTCAAACTGCATTATTGGAGAAAATATACATAAAATAATATTTTTTCCATGTAAAATTTTATTTCATACAAATAAGTCCAGTTATTAAAATGTAGTTGATCTGAGCACCAATATAACATACAGGGCATGCGATGCACTTTTTGTTCTTTTTTTTTTTCTTTTTGGGTGAAGCCAGTCAATGCTTTTGGCTCACATAAGTCCACATTTAGAGAGGAGGTTTTGGGTGTAAATATTCCTTCCTCTTCCCTAGTTTTGGAGCACATTTTCACAGTATCTCTTGCTTTTTGCCTGGAAAGAACAAGGGTAAGACTGGATGGTGGTGGTTGTTCTCTGTTTATGTTTTTGTTCTTTAACTAAGGATCTAATGCATGTTCCACTGAACCGTGGAGTGGGGAATATCCCACTCTACGGACCCTGTTTTCAGGGACTGACGTGAAGGTGGTCTCCCAGAAGTAGGGAGTCTCCTCTCAGCCAGAAGAACTGCTTCATTTAGGCCAGGAAAATCACCCTGTCTTTCCATAGAGAAAGTGTGAAACTTCTCCAGCAACAACCTGCAACTTTCAGACAGACATAGCTACTATACATAAGAAAAGCACCCTTCTTTAGCTGTACACAGTCAACTTTACAAGTATTACTCTGGTCACACAAACACTCCTGAGACAGCAACAAAGGCATTACAAACACTCCTGAGACAGCAACAAAGGCATTAACTCAATTGACTGCCTGTATATATGATTTGATCTACAATGATACCTATGCAAAGAAGCTCTTTTTACTCTGAGTAAAGCATGGCTTAATCAAAGATGAGATCATTTCTCAAAAACATAGTACTATGTTAATTTGGAAAGCATTGGGTGCTCCTCTTTCTCAGAAAGTAAAGTAATTTTTCATTATCTGTTTTTCCTCTCTTCACTGTCAGCTCCATCTTTTAGGAGCATTAAGATGCAATGGTATTTGCACAACCCGAGGAGCATTCCTTCTCTTGCTGTGTTGGCCATAGGTGCATAAAGGAACAATAAGAAAAGTAACTAAATAGTACATTAAGGAAAAAATTTGTCCATTTCACTATATATTATAATTTTATGCCCATGTGCTTACACACAGAGAAAGGCAAATAACATATGGAGAATGGAATTACTAGTTCTACCTTTGTGCCGTAATAAAATGCTGGTTGGAAAAACAGTCATTATACCAGGCACTTTCTTTCACTTTTTCCAAAGATTTACATTCAGGACCTAAAGTGAAATCCTTGAATATTTCTGTCAGCATTCTCTTTCTAAGACTGAGTTATATTTCTTACCTTTGAGACTAAAAATCCATTACTGTATTGCACAATGATTTGAGGATAGTCAAGGTCTTCTGTGGAACCCATCTTCTTTCTGGACTGAGACACAGATTCTCTGGTCCTCTTAATTTAAATAAGCTTCTTTCCACAAAGCACAAAGCATGCCAGCTGATCCACTTAATCTTATTGCTTGTGAAAAACACACTGGTTACAAAACACGTTAGTTGAGTTATTTGGCTTTGATGGGTCTTTCTACCCAGTTCAGCTGTTTCTTTGGATCTTCCATCATCAAGTATAAGTCTAAAGAAGCCATGTGGATTAAAGCTTGTATCATGGTTCATCAGTGAGTTGAGACGCTGGTACTTCAGAAGCACTCGAAAGCTTGTAACAAGCAAAACAGGAATCAGCACAGAAAAGCATCAAGAACCAGAACTCAGCACGATGCACCAGAGTCCATAAACAAAGTCTTACTCATGACTTGAAACTTGCTGTGAAAGGCACAGGCGCAGGGGACCCTGGGGCTGGCAGTAGGGTAGACCCCACCCCTAAGTGTAAAAGCAGCCAGTCCAAAGAGAAGCTGGAAGAATCTGTTTGCTGCTTTGTTGCTGTGACTAGTTTGCTCTGACAGTGATCACTCAGGTGAGGCCTATGAGGAATTAAGTCTACTCTTGTTACTTTTCTGTATTTTCCAGGTCCCTCCCCCCATAACAGCTTAGAAATCAATACCTGTTTGATAGCAACACCACAGCAGGGGTGACCTACTTGTGCTTTGCTGTGTTTTGGCAGAGCAGGGTGCTGAGGGATGACAAAACATTTTCCAGCTTGCTGCTGCAGTCTTCCTCACCTTCTCTGCAAAACTAACCATGGGCATGCAGAAGGCCCTTGGGAAGAAACAATGAAATGACTGCCAAGTGCAAGATGTGGTGTAGACTTCAACTTCATGCAGGACATACCTCATAGGTATTTCATCAGAAAATTAAACCCCTGGATTATTTTTCTGAGATCTTTCTGTCCTACTGTCCATCTCTCCAGCTTGTAAATGCCTGAAGTCTTGCCCATCTTGACTTTTTGGGCAGACGTTGCAACTATCAGGTGAGAAAGGAGCCTTTCCATCAAGGAAAAGACTTACAGTTTTTACATCATATATTTAGAGATCCTTCAGGCAACAAAGCTAAATGAGACTTGACTTAGCTAATACAGTGATGGCAAAATGTTACAAACCAGCATTTTTTCAGTGCTAGCTTTCTCCATGCTTCAGTGATTAACGGGCTAAACTTCAGCAATACAGAGATCAAGATGTAGCTCATCATTTTTTGTGCATCAGCTTAGTATACAGTTAAAGAGTGCACTTCATGACTTCATCCCAACGCAACTTTTTCATATTATCTTCCTTTCCTAGGAAATAGGCCTGTGTTTATATAATGAAGCTGAAGGTTAGTCCTGTGCTTCTCTTTTGAACCTGCCTCATTCTAGAAGAAAAAGGCCAGTATAAAGTTGTCACACATTCTTTCTGACCATTTTGTGAATGCAGTGAAACGTTTTCAACTGAAAGATTCCACCATATATTCCTTCTGTGAATCTGAATTTTTCATTCAGATCCTTGCATTTTAGCCAAAAGAGGTTCTATTTCTTTTAGCCAGTGGTGAAGTAGCAACTTACTTGGAGAGTTAGTTGTTAAAGTTAGCCAAGAAGATGTCAGCCTTTTTCCCCTCTGTACACAGAAACAGTACCCGTTCCTCCAGCTTTAACACCTCAGGGTCTCCTGTGTTACCAGAGTAGTAGGTCCAAACATACAAGAGTTACAGCAAACACCAATCTGTAGAAACATGTAGAGCTCCTCATCCTGGTCAACACAGCCTATAAATATAGGGCTGTTTTCTTGCTAGTGCACCAGACTTCACTGTTCAGTACAGCTTAGACACTAATATTCTGTGTATTTTGTACTGCGGAGATCACAACACACCTCTCTGCCAGAGTGACAGGGAATCTGTGCAGCTTGCATTTAACAAGACACCAAAGGTTTCAAGAACACAGGTACATTCATAATGAACACTTTCCCCTTCTATCCCTACCTCAAGGAGAGCACAGGAGCTCAGTTATTATTTAGGAACTGCCATCTGCATATGCAAAAAGCTAATCTGAAGAGTTCATTCACTTGGACAAATCTAGACCCTCTCTTGGTGAACACGCTACAGATTTTTTAGTTCCTCAGATTCATTCCAAAGACAGTTCTGCAGGAAAAGAAACTTTAAAAATTTCTCATTAAGTCTCCACCTGTATGAGTAACCAAGTCAACTTATTTCCCTCAACAGCTTTCCCTCTCCTCCAATGAAAATAGAGAAATAAATAGTGTGATTATTCACACATCACTAGCCAAAGATAAACATTGTTAGCCAAAAAGATTAGAAAGTTGTAGGAAAATAAAAACAAAAATTCTCTGCTAAAGTCATATTCTGCCTGATACTGAGAAACAAAATGCAATGCTTGCAATTCCATGCAAGCCAAGAAATTTCCCACTCCTGCGATCATAACAACTATTCAACCCCAGACTATCAACCATACTGGAAGCAAAACTTCCCCACACATTTCTCTTCTGCTGAGCTAAACAAAACAAGTCTAAGAAGAGTTAGATGCTGTTCACTAGCTTACAGATCACTTTCCTCAAATGACTCAGCCACAGAGGGTAATCACGTATTTCAGTGACATTTAGTACAGTTGCATTACAGATTCATAAGTACAAAAGTGCTCAACCCTTGATTCTTGTTGTTTTGACTAAATAACAGACTATTATGTGCACTGTTGCAGACTAGCACACCTTAACTGGCCATAAACACATTCACTTAAGGCAAAGTTATAGGGTACAAGGGTCTCCAGTAAAAAAATGACCACCCAATTAACTAAACTCACTTGAAGTTCTTTCTCACTTATGGCTAAATCTCTCTGTTGAGAACACCAGTCATAATCATCTAATGGGATTACTACTGGTAGTGAGATGTAGGGGTGGAGGGTTGCAAATAACCCACACCAGACTGATGCAAAGCCACATGCAGTGTGTTCTGTTTCCAAGTAAATTATCAGCGAGGCTTAAATTTTAAGCTCCTTTTAAGCTACAAATGCATTCATGAAGATGGAATTGTAATGGCTTGCTTTCTCTGAAAACTCCATGTGCAGGTTAAAGCCGTTACTTTACCTCTACAGTTCTATTTTGGTGACACATTTTCCTTTGCCTAACTAACTCACTACAGACAAATGCTACACAAAAAAAAAAACCAACAACATATCATTTTGGCATAACATTTGAAAGTAAGAAATTATCTATGAAAAAAGGACAACTGTGCCTCTCTATCATTATTAAGCTTCTAAGTATGCCCAGATTATAAGAGATGGCTTGGAAATACATTAAGATGATACAGTTTGTGGCCTTTTTTGAAACAATTCTAAAAAGCCAAGATGCTTAGTTTCATACTTTTTATTTGAAATGCAAAGTCTAGTTTTAACAAAATGCTCATATTCTTCTTTGCAACTTCTAATTCTTCTCACATTTTACAATAGATGTATTTTCCTAGTAGTATAACTCTCTCTTCTATCATTTTTTGACACCAATTAATTTCATTCTTTTCCTGTTTACATCACATATACTACTTGCAAATACTTGGAGTGGGCAGGAAATCCTCTATTTTAGCTCATTTTTTAAGCAAACACTCTCTTCTATTCAGTTTCACTTTCAGTAAAAACTCTGGCTGAGAATGTCTTTTAAAGTCCATCTTAAGCAATCCAGAGTTTAACTTGCAATAATCTCTCAAACTGCAAATAATCTCTCAACAAATAATTCAACCTAATAGTCATTGAGATCTCTGTCAGAGGAAGGTGGCAGTATAGAAGAGGCATAGACTCCCTGGGGATAACCAAGTTCACTAGGAAAAAATGGTAGATGCTTTAAAGAGAGAGAGAGATGCAAAAAGAAAACTAAGATGGATAGCAGCTAAGGTAGGCTCTGATTTCAGAAACTACTTGTGCTCTATCAAGCATCACAAAGGAAAACTCTGGACAAGCGATTGCCTTGCACAGGCCATTTTAGAGGCTCAGCTTTCCTCGAGATGAGCCAAACACCTGCATGCTCATGGGAAATGGTGAATGAATTCCTTATTTTGCCTTGTTTGTGTGCGTAGCTTTTGCTTTACTTTAAACTGTTTTTATCTCAACCCACGAGTTTTCTCACTTTTACCCTCCCAATTCTCTCCCCCACCCCACCAGGGGGGAATGAGTGAGCAGCTGTGTGGAGTTGCTGGCTGAGGTTAAACCATGGCAGCAAGCCATGTGCAATTGCAGGGAAAATCTAGTCTGAAGGTGATTAATTCTTTTTCAGACACTTTGTTGGCAGTGTTTGGGAGTGACATATTACTTCATATTGTCCTACAAATAGTCCAATTTCATGGACAGCACCCCTGTATGTCCCATCCAGAGCAGGAAGAGCTCACTTTACAAGTGCCATAGTGCACATGCAGCCAGATTAGGTATCAGTTAGAGAGCAATTCCAATCGGCCTTAGCCCTTCAAAAGTTTTATAACATATTACTATGGCAAAGCATTAGCTTGAGCTAATCTGTGATTTTTTTTTTATTTTTTTATTTTTTCTGTGAGGCAGCAGATGTACTTGGGGGTGCAGAGGGAATCAGATCGAATTAATTTTCTGTGCCAACTAATGGTATTAAAGAAGAAAGGATGGTGGTGCGTACCACTTCTAACAAGCCTCAAGAACCCCATATTAGATTAAGTAGAAAAAAAAAATTAAAAATGGAGGCAAACTTCTTTTTAACAACAATACTTGTACATGTAGGAACATAGGTTACTCCATGATTCTCTTCTGTGCACCCAGTTCTGAAGAATCAACTGCAACTAAACCGCTGCTTTATAGAAACACTAGAGACAACTCTGCAAATTTATCGTGAAGCAGAAAAAACACATTCTGCAAATAACATGTTCATGAGGTTGGGGAAGGGCCAGATCCACAGAATGCAACGTAAGCTTAATGAAATAGGTGTTGCATCCGGAATAACCAAACCTCAAAGGCAGGATACCAGTTCAAAACACAGATATATATTTCATCTTTAGTA